ATAAATTGTTATATATATGTTATTCTTATATAATTTTTTAATCTTATGTAAATTAAAAATAAATATTTAAATCATATGTCTAGAAATATGAAAATAGTATATATTGAGCTAATATTGGTAATTTGAATCTTATGAGTTAATTTATATATATATATATATATATATATATATATGTATATATATCCTAATTAAAAAATTAAATAATTTAGTATTTACACATTATACAAAAATTACCTATAATCTATATAAAAAAATAATGATAATATTGTATTATTTTCATCTACCAATAATATATAACACAAAATTCTAATAATATTATATTATTTTCATATTTTTATTAGTACATATTTTATCAAAATAATATAGTGAAATATATCCTAACAAAGAAAAAGAAAAAGAAAATACACATTAAACACGTCAAACAAAAAGCAGAGTTAATACATCATAATTAAATTAAGTATTGAAGCATAGTTAATACATAATAATTAAATTAAGTATTACATTAAAATACATAAATACGAATGCATATAAGAAAAAAAATAATTTTTTTTATATAATATGTTTATTCTTATTCTGGTTCTAAATCATTAAAGTCTAGAGATGATTTTTTCTTTAATACGTTCGAACCATCTTTTCCTTCTCGATCGAGAAACCCAATTTTTATAAATGTTCGAACTGTGAAAATATATGATTTTCCAAAATTTTATGATGTCTTGTCTGTGAAATTATATATTGTCGAATCTACACTATACCCCACAATATATATTTTTTTTGTTTAATTTATTTGAATATAATATTATTAGTAATGAAATGTATTATAATTTGATATTGCAATTTTTTAACAGTAAAATTGTTCCTAGGAATAAAAATTTAACAAAATTGTTTTCTACATAATATACATCTCCCTTTCACAAATTATTTATAGTAAAAAAAATATGTGATGAATTATTGGAGGAACAAGGATTAACACTAAAAAATTATTTTCAATGACCTACATTAGAAATTGAAAATTCTCTTACATCTTAGTTAACATTTTAGTAAATTCTCTTGCACTTTACCTGCGGGTCGATCTCGGGCCCCCATGCCCAACACAATTTCAAATGGGCTCCTTTTCAGTTTCCCCAAACTAAAAGTCCTCGTTTTCCACTGCACGAGTTTCAGCCTTGTTAATTCGGTTTTATTGGGCTGCCCTGTGCTTGAGGTCTTAGTCGTGAACTGCGATCCTTCTTGCTTTCAGGAAGAAAGACTTTCGATACGTGTTCCTTCGCTTAAGGTTCTGTGGTTGCATAACATGATGAACGTTATTTTCTGCGTGCTCGAGCTCGATTCCCCTGGCCTTTTGCACTTCTATCATTATGGGTACATGCCGGTTTTTTATCCGGCTATGAAAATGAGGTCCCTTTCTGTGGCCCGTCTGAATGTTAACGAAACCGGAGGTCAACGTCAGGTTATGGCCAACGGGCAAGCGATCGTGGCTCTTAACGCGTGCTCGGATGTCGTGAGGATATATCTTTCTCACCGAAAAGTTCATCTCGGTAAATTAATGCTTTTTTTTCCGTATTTTTGTGGAACCATAGATGGAGCACTTTTTATGTAGTTTTGTAGATTTTTTTTACGTTATGCGCTTCTTCTTTTCTTGATACTTCTCGGCAGATGTTGTACCGTGTCCCCAATCGAATTCCGAGTTTTCCGAAGCTGGTTGACTTGGGAATAATCGGTATGAATCATACTCATGGGTGGGAAGTGCTTCTAGGATTTGTGGCTCGTGCGCCGAATCTGAAGAATATTTATGTGAAGGCGGTATGTTTTTTATTGCCATCTGTGCTTATTATGTGCTGCTTCTATTTTGTTAACCTCTTATCATATGTTTTTATTTTGCTCAGAACTTTCACACTGAAGGGTACCGACGTTTCAAGGCTGCCGTGAAGGAAACCATGTCAGTTGTTGATATTATCGACAATCCTGATATGTTTCAATTGAAGATTGAAAGGAGGAATGTGCAAAACGGAGAAAATTGTTTGTGTATATGTGGTGGTGCAGTGGTGAACTGAAGTTGTGTGGGGGGGGTTTTCGTACTCTGGTAAAGGTTTTTTGGGCAGTTCATCTTCTGTGAAACGTGCACTTTCAACGTTGTCACATAAGTGTCTTTGGAGTTTTGAAGAAAGATTTTTCTTTTGTTTTATTGCTTTTGTTGTTGATTGTCATAGTTTTTGAGTACCTCATATTGTTTTTATGGACTACATATAGTCTGTGACTTGAATGTTTTTTTTTTTTTTTTT